AAGATTTAAATGTTAGACAACTTAATTGGTGCTGCACAAGAGCAAATTCTTGGGATAACATTTTCAATGAAATCACGACATTCTTTACGGTAACTGTATTACACACTAATGATCTAACCTGTATTCCATCTGCTCGAAGATGTATGCCCTCTTTGTTGGATCTAGTCTTGACTTATATACCGATGTTTATTTCCAATTTGCAAGCTTTACAAAATTTCAGAAAAGGATGGTACAACAGGTGCTTTAGATGAAAGTAGCAAGTGATTATAGAATATGAAATTGCTGCGTAAAAAACGCCACGTCATTCCGCCTCTTAAATTAAGTTTTTACAGAAAAATTTCTCGAGAATCATAGAGAATCATAGTCTCTTGTAACATAAGTTCCTGTGCGAGAAGGCATATAGTTAATTCTGCGGTATGCGAAACCGAACTCATTTGCAGTTCATATCCCACAGGAAGACAGTGATGACGTCGTTAAATGTGTAGTGCATGAAATACACCCAGGAAAGATTCCATATATAATTCATGAAGTAATACGATTTTCTAATTGCATAATTGACTCATGCATCAAATATTTTCTCAGCATTTGGAAATCGGCTAAAGTTATTCCCGTTTCTAAACCAGGCATCATCAAACGATGTGAACAGTTGTAGACCCAATAGTCTTCAGCGCTCTAAGCAATATCTTTGAAAACGTCGTTAAAAGCAAATTATAGCAAACAGTTTCTAAGAAAAAATATCATGCCAAATGAACAACTTAATTTTAGAAATCAGCATAATACTTCAGACCAGATTGTACCCACATGCCTCTAGGCTGAAAAATTTTAGGTTGAGCCGGCTCGGCCTAAACTTTACCGGCGTAGTAGTCTGATTTTTAAATTGATATCTCTTGCTTTGCCGTTTTGTGGACTTAAAATAATCCAAAAAGGTATTTTTGCATTTCTCTTTTAGATTAATTTTCTGATTTATTACCTATTCCTGCAGATGCTCTACAAGGAGTCGTTCTGCGTCCAATGTTATGTTTAATTTTCTGTTCTAACTTTTCAAAAAACTTAATGATTGTCATGTATGCTGATGACATCGTATATACTCCTAGCATAAGCTTGATTGCAAAATAGTAAACAAGTTGCAGATTTGGATTAGTATAGTATCCAATTATTTGAACAAATCTAAAATAAAATTAAAAGCATACAATGCGCAAGCCATCTTTTTTACTCGAAAAAGAAACCCTTGTTTTCTCCTTTCGTCTGTTTTGATAATTCAAGACTATAAAATTCTTTTCTCTGACCGAGTTATGTACTGACAAGTTATATTGGATAAAAAGTTAATTTTCGGTTATCATGCTTAATATAACAGAAATAAACACAACATTGCCAAAAAGATGCTACATCCATTAAAGTACAGAAATTGTAAACTAAGCATTGTAAGCAAGATTCTCTTATATTAAGTTGGTCTTCAATTGATATACTGCATGTCTGTCCATGGAGCAACTGTGCTCTGACCTACATCAAGAAAAATGATACTAAACTTGCCCAAACATTTTTCTATGGAAAGGTTACATAAAATAACAAATGTAAACTAATTATAAACAAAAATTATTAAATTACAAATTACTTATTCGACAACATTCTTATGAATGAACCCTAAAATCCAACATATTATACAAACTACTGTCTGACATTTAACTTTAATTGAACGTTTTTACTTGTAGATTTTTTTTCGCTACGTACATCATATACCTTCTACGAACTCTAATAGTCTTTATTTCCGAATTACTAATGATATAGAATTAAGCTAATATGTAATATTCTTAAATAAGTATGTAAATAATTTGTGAATTTTATTCTTTCTACAATAAAACCATCTTTGAAATATGACTTTGATATTAGTTATGATTTCAGCATTAGAATTGTAAACTTTCGTTCCGTTTCCCTGCCGTTTCGCAAAACAAAGTGTAAACATCCGATTCTACCTTTGACATAAAAACATAACATTTTAATGTTCAAGAAAAAAGATTAGGGAAAAAAACTTGGAACGGCAATTTCATGAGATTTCATGGAATTACAAACAAATGGAGCAAATAAATAAAGAAGTTATTTTAATATATAGATACATTTCATATTTTACATATATCAAAATTTTAGGCGTGGTTTTTTCTAAACACGATTTTTTAAAACACCTTCTAACAATTTTCGTTCATCCTCTGATTCGAAATTTATTAGTTATCTGAAGCACAGCGATATAGCTATGTTATTGTTTTCCCCGCATCGAAAGCATATGCTTTCGAGATCCTTGTGCAAAGACAGCGGGTTCTTCTTGTGTGGCGGTCTCTCATAACATTGATATGCAGCGGTAGTTCCAGTTGAACTTTACCTTCAGAACAAGAGATGATGTTGCTGATATGTGCCAAAATTCATTTCTACGGCGATATATTATCATTACTAATTGCTCAATTCGTATTAGGTCGAAAAATTTGGCTGTTCGTAGTAACGTTAAAGCTCCTATATATTAAGCAATACCTTTCATAGGTTGTACCCTTTGATAGTGAGCGTGTCGCGGGAACAACAGAACAAGACAATAAGTCCTGTGTCCTGTGCAACAATTAATAGGGCGGTTTTAAACGTATGGAAATACTAAGAATGTGTTTTATTGTCTATGTTAAATTATAAATTTCATTTATAGTGTAAAGTATAAAGAAATGTGTGCTTAACTTTTTTCCTGCTTGAGGAAAAAATGAACTAGGTAGTATACCTAAATGTACTTGAAAAAACACAGTTATAGTTGTTTTAGAAATTTTTTGATAGACGTGTAAACGTTTCCAGGCGTTTCATTCGTAAGAGAATAAATCAAGTTTCTTTCGCAGAATGTACAAAATATATTAGTACAGCCTTAAGATTAGTACAAATTACTAATTCCGTTCTTTGAATTCCTTATTATATATCTTCCACCAACAAAATACACTGCGTTTTCCCAATAGAAACATTGCGAAATACCAAACTTTTTAATGAACCTTCTGAAGTCTAATATAATGGTAGTAGCTAAAGAATTCAATTTTACCTCGAAGTGATCAGTTTCGCAAAGCATATGAATATTGAGTTTTGCGTGTTTTAAGGTTGTTCTCCATGAATACGATGTTTTATGAAGAAGGGTCCACGAAAGTGAACATTAGATGATAAAAATTGTCTCTGTAAACGGTTTAAAGAACACCAATGAGGTAATGTTAGCGATGTAATGCCTGGGGTAGCTCGCCAATGCACTTCAGTTATTTTGAATGAATGGAGGGCTACTACTTTTATTTTGTTTAAGAAAATTGTTTCTCATTTTCTGGTAGAATTAAACTTTCTTTTTTGGAATAAATAAACTTACTTTGATCAATGGTTCAATTGGACGGTACTTTACTGCAGGTGTAATTAAAAATCACGACCCCTTACAGTTAAATAAAAGCACCATGACGATTACACTGTCGTCTTTTGGACTACGGGGCTTGATCAAACTAAGTCGTTAGCTGAAAACAGAAATCAACGTCTTCTTGAATTTAGGTCACCCAAGTTGGCGTGGCCAACCGATAACACACAATCTTGTACTCTTAACACTAGCCCTTAAGCTAATCTTACTATATGTGAAATGCTAAAGTGCATCCTCCCTGCACAGGCATGAGTCCTAGTTTATTTGCATTTCGAATTCCTTTTTCTTGGGTTTGTATTGACAGTGGAGAGTATTGTAAAATTCAAGAATTAAGGGCTCTACGGTTGTCGGTGTATGCGTGGAGTGGATCTCTACACTGTGCCTCGAAAGTTACTGCATGATAAATCCCTACCGCTTCAGCTTCCACCATATTGTTATTATCTTGAACAACAGCAAAAGAAACAGCATTACTAATTTTAGATGCGTTGGTGTATAAAAATATCTATCCGGATAATTCTGGTCGTGCATCCTTAAAGAGTTGTTTACATAACGTTTTCGTTCCCGTCTGTACGTACGATTCGCACATAACTGATTAAAAATACAATTTATCAATACAAACATCATCGGAAGAACACTATTGAAAAGTGACATCAAAGAATTTGGCGATATCTTTAAACGCGTCCTAAAGCAGTCATCCTGAATTACAAATTTATTCATAACTTTCAACGAAACACTTATGTAACACCCGCTGTGGAATCAAACAACTCTCAACGGACCCCGCAAAAATAATCACGGAGACGTCGCTCCAATTATCAGCAACATTTTAAAGAAAACAGTAAAAAGGAACGTCGATTTTACCTTTGTTTGTGCATTTTCTGATTTAATGCTGGCGATTATCAAATTGGACAGTTTATTACAACGGCTATAGGCAAAGCAAGCTGAAAGCATTTTGATCCATCAGAAGCCGTAAAAACAAAATCTCAAGACAAAATTAAGGATTTAAAATCTATTAAGTGAACAAACAACTTGAAAAACAAATTTATTTAATTAAGTGTAACTCTTGTTAAGATTATTTGCTAATTGTTACATATCGTTAGGATTTTCATTTTTTTTTTAATGAACAGACATATACGGCAGATTCACCTTCAATCGACTTAGCAGCAAACGTTAGTTCCAGTGTTATTAATACACAGCCTGTGGATCATTATAATTTTTCTGGTGACCAATCCGGCATTGAGATTTCCGCCGCGCTGGAAAAACTTCCACAATTTTGGACAAGCGTAGCTTATTTATGCTAAGATGCAAATCGCTACTAAAGAAATTAAAAATATGATTATTACTGCATTAGACATTCTTCAATGTCCACCAAGTGGAACCAAGTAGGGCAATTTGAAGAAGATTTTGATTCAGCGACATGGTACCAAGGAAAATAGATGACTAGATAAGATTTGGTCCGATACAGAGTTCGGAGACCGTCGGCATTTTAGCGTTCGTTACTTGTTGGCTCAAGTTAGAGCCAAAATCTTTCAAAAAGGCTCTTGGTAAGAAAATTGTTGTGGCACAAAAAAATTTTAAATGAGGCATTAACAGGCTCGAATGCAGTTGGCAGATAATATATGGAGTGCAATTCGAAAACACTTTATCGAATTCACAAATCACAAAAATGCGAATATATGTGAATAATCTTGTTCACATAGCAAAGATACGGAACATTCAACAAACTAGGTAAGCTCGTTGTGGCGGCAGTAGACAATTAGCACGATAATCTGATGGCTCTTGGCCCATTTATTAGTGATAAGGCGAATAAATTACATTTTACATTTGGCGGAGCTCATATTCTAACAAAAGAAATACAGACTCTGTGCTAAGAGCAGCAAACGGATCGACTGTTATGGCTTACGGCAAGAAATTATTAAATTTAAATTAAAGACTACGGAGGGAATTTACTTTCGTTTTTACTATTGCGAATACCAATTAAATGTGCGGATTCTTTACGTAAGTAAAGTATCAGTAGGTATTAAGGATAAGTCTACGATTGATCCCCTAACTAATTTATCGGTAAATACTCTTCTACAAACTTTGTGAAGTTCAGCTACCAAGAATTTTTTCGTTGGCAATCAATACACGGAGCTACAAAAACGGTACCCACTATTTATATCAGACTACTCACAACAAATCAAATACTTTTCTGTACGTAGCCTTTACCCTTAATTAGACCTAGACGTTTAGAACTGGTGAAATACAAGGTTGTTAAGGAAAAATTTGGTTTTATAGTAAAATCAAGGAGTTGTAATTTCTTGTAACTTTTAATTTTTGTGCAGTTTATGCTTTGCTTTTGATTTGCATGACTAGCGGTCTTGTCGAAATTTTAAGAAATCTTGTCAGCGTTCCCAATAGATACCACTTATCTTGAACATGAATATGGTCCATGCTGATTTGGTCCATGTCTACCATTATATATCTATGGCGGTAGAAGGCATATAGAAGACTGCAGTTACGGCACCTATCGGGATGTTGAAATTTTTACGATACAGCAAAACGATGAAGAGTTGACAGAAATAATATAGAATAAGAGAGAGGCATTTAAGTTTAGAGCCAATTAAGGTTTTATTATTTAACATACAATTAAGGTGTGAAGCATCGCAGTACCACCCAGCAGCTTTTGTGCCTTTGAGTCCGCGAGGAATAATTTTTGATGAACTACATATCATATTTCATCTACGTACCTGGGCCATAGGTCGACTTATTTCGCGGCGTTGCTGCTGAAATAATAATAACAGGAAATTTAATATTTGGTCGAGATTGCATTAAATGTCAAAAGTCTAAAGTTATAAGCCATACACGGCCACCAATATCTAAAAATTTCAAAAGGCAGGTGTGAACACATTCATCTTGACATAGTAGCCTTTATGTCCTTCACGTAATCATAGATACCTGTTAACTATTATTGACAGATATACCCGTTGGCCTGAAGTATACCCTCTTAGAGACATTTCGGTGTGCAATAGGGGCCCGGACATTTCTTTCTCGCTACATTAGTCGTTTTAGAATGCCACTAAGAATTTCTAGCGACAGAAAAACATAGTTCACATCCAAGATGTTTTCAGACACTACTACTTACTAGGAAGTCATAACATCATTACTTCGCCATACCGCTCCCCGACGAGGAATACGGTTGAGAGATTTTATCGAATATTAAAAACGACAATTTTAGCAGTTAATCAACCTGGGAATTGGTATAATACTCTCCCAATGGCCTTGTTAGGTCGCAGATCCGTTTGCGAAGAAGTTTTACAAGCAACGCCTGCGCAAATAGTTTAACGACAAAATATGTTACTTCCTGATGAAATTATTGTAGCAGGGACAAGGAAATCATCATCCGTGTTTTTACATAAAATGAAAGACCATTTCAAAAGTGTTCGTTCAAATTTATCTCATCTTGGGGTATAAATAGAAGAGTATATATATTCAAAGATCTCAGTAGTTGTCAATATTTTTTTTAACTTGTAGGACACAAATAGTCCATTCAGAGTCCGTACAGACCGTTTAAAAGCTTGATCTTACTTCCAGCAGGTTTCCAATAACTAATAGTCAATTATAGGTAGAATCAATGACTGAGCAACAAGAATCCGTGGGTGTATAGTGTTATTATAATTTCTCAACTACAAAATTTTTATGTGTCTCAATATTCGACTGCAATACAACTTCTGATCTGAAGCATGTTGTGTTCTCAAGTCGATCTATGCAACAACACTTACAGACAACCAATGTCACTTGAAGATCTCTGTCCAATAACCAATGGCTTTAGTCAACCACATCAACCACAAAAGCAACAGCAGTGTGCGTGGTGTCTTAACCATTAATCCAGGATGCATACTTAAACACAACCATATCCACGTGTCTGGTCATCATCCTATTTCAACTACATTGTTATACACTCCCATACAGGTTTTGAAGAAATTATAAAATTGACACATCAACCGTTTTTAAGACATAAAATCATCAATCAAGAATATCCGACCAACTCAAAGAACTGGCATCTTCACAACATACGTTACGATCAATCTACGACGCTAAAATTCAAACTGATTTCACTTCAGCTCATAGTGCCAATGACGCGCATTCCCCATTAATCATCAGCACTGCTGCTATCATCATTGTTTTCTCCAGCATGTTTTTCTCCCAAAAAGTCTGTAACTGCTCAAACAATTGCCACCACAAACAATGAAATAACGCCATCGCTATATCCCATAAATCTCTCTCATATCATCTCTCATAAATGTCTCTCATAAATCTTAACCGTTCAAATTTGAACACACAAAACTATAGTTGACCGCTGGTCAATGCAGGGAAATTGCATAATTTTACTATAATTTGTATTCATTTATTCGATTTGCATTCAAATATGTATGCTTAGATTTAATATTTTTAATTTTTTTATTATATGTGCGCATTTGTGCTTCTTTATTTTGCATTCTTTAATTACTGTTGACCTTAGACAGTAGTCTCGTTCGTTTATAAGAATTGGAATTGAGACATTTTAAATGTGTCGTCGTTTATTTCTTTGCTTAATTTCAAGTTTTGTTTACACTGTAACTTTGTGAAAAACTTCAGGTGGGCGCATATATGCACGTTTGGCCAAATCAATTATCGTGTATTTGTATAATTCTGCTCTTCTATTATTATGTAGTTCTTAATTTCATTAAAATCCATATTAATTATTAGCTACAATCAAAATTTATTTTTTTGCTTATATTGTGGCATTGTGCAATTTTGTGGTGATTTTACATATTCCGTACGCCATTTACATAAAAATAATTGTACAGCTTGGCGCTGTTTTTTTCTTAACCAGAAGTACTGAACTCTTATTTCGAGGTCCGAAAATGACTTTCATTGCTTTGCTTGTAGTCTTTAGACATCTATGAACTGCAAAACACGGGCATGGTGTAATCGGTTCTACTTTATGAAGACATTAGACGACTATGCACTTCCACAGGCGACGAAATCAATTCAAGAAAGGCGATATAATATTCTTCTGCTTGATGTTTCTTATGTTTTTGTTATCGGCTAAGAAGCAAACCGATTACTCTCTCGAGTTGGTAACCGCGGAGGCATCACTTATCAAGAATTTTTGTAAGGAACATTTAAGTTTTTTTTGTTTTTATGTTTATTATAAATAAATCAAAATTGAAATAGCAATACTTGAAAGTTATAAGTATAACAAAACGGATTTTGCAGTTATAAATATAAAAGAGCAAATTTTTACAACACGAGCGCAGTAAGTTGTACGTGAGATCAATTCAAGTAGCAGTTGATAAGCGGCGAATATGTTAAAGCGATGTGCTTAAAAAAAACTGAAGAAAACGTTGACGGTAAAAGAAACCGAATTCCAGCATCTCTCACAAAAAAAAAAAGAAAAAAATTTTTTTTTTTGCTTATAATGGAAAGGGTTTAAACTATAAGAGCGTATTAAGATCTGGTAATGGTGTAATAGTGCGTACGGCTTTGTTGGTGCTCGTACTCTACAAGTCTCAGTTGTTTACAAGTTGCTGTAAAAACACATGGATGCCCATTACGGTACTGCAATTTATTTTGTTTGAAACAAAAAAAAATTTATGGTATTTAACGGATCCATGACGATGACTAGTCTTTTATAATAGAGTCGTCTGTGCCATTTTATATCTGTTCTGTAATTTGGATAAAGAATCGACTGATGCGATGTAGAATTCGTACAGAATTAGCGTTTTTAACGTGGCTTCACTTTCACAAAATATATTATTTGTTTCATTCTAAATCTCTGCAGGAGAAGCCGAGTGTACTAGAGCATAGCTGTGGCGCATGCTTATAGCACTTATTGCATCTAATGTGGGTATAGAAGTAAAATGCTTGTTAAGTGAATTCAAATTTTTCCAATAAATAAATTTTAATTTATTTAATAAATTACTAACATAATATATATATTTCTTGTTATACACATCACCGAAAGATGAGGGCTACATGCATTTTGTCAAAACGTTCGCACACCCCCGGAAGAAAGCATCAGAAATACCACAAACTATATATATTCTCGATCAGCATCAAATCCTAAGTTGATTTAAGCATGTCCGTCTGACCGTCTGAATCGATCTAAGCAAGTCTACCTGTATAACATTCGTGATGACCACTCTCCTAATTGCAAACATTGAAAATTCTTGCGCGCAGATTGATATTGAATATTTGCCAAATCTGGCAAAGGACACACTCATTTTGTAATGTAACCTGAGGCTATTTCTTCAAAAGCAAAAAAAAAGGTTTTGAGCGTTGTTGATTTTGCTCGTTACTTGTATACCACGAGAAAAAACGTTTAGAAAGTCCTTATATGCTTCTTGAATTATTTTTCAGTACCTAGAGTCGGAAAAAGCTTACCCAACATTGTAGAATACTAAGATATCACGGTTTGGCCAAAATGTCTGCGATACGCAGAAAGAAGCTAAGGGATACATATTCTTGCCCAATATCAAAACCTAAGTCCATCCAAGCACGTCTACTCTTTAGTCTATTAGTTCAGCTGGGTTTGTGTGGTAACAACTCTTTTGGTCAAAAAAGGTAAGATCCGCGGCAAATCTGATAATAACATTGAAAGTTACTGTAGATAGTTTGGTGTTAATAATAGACGAGTTTTGGGCACTCGCACTTCTATTTTCAAAAAAGTTGAGTATTTTGCTTATTATTCATATCCTAAATTGTATATAGCAATATTCCACACGTATGTACGATGTAAGTACAAAATAAAAAGAAATTGGTGATTTTTACTACATGTGTTAGAGCAAAACAGTCGGGTATTTTGTGCATTACACATTTCCTATAGCGACAGAAATTTGCATTCTCTTTGTGTTTGTACAAAAATTCTAACAATAACAACTACAACAATTTCACTCATTTCAACTTTTGAGCTTAGAAAACGCTCATTATAAATTTTTAATGATTACCATTTGCATTAAAGAGGTCTTTAAATAAATGCAATTTCTTTTCTATCTCTTGTTATCTTCAAGATAGAAATGACTTGTACCTATTTCTCCCATAAAGGGTCAATATTACTCATCATTTTTATGGAATCACCACAATAGCAAAAATGAAAAGAAGAAACTGGCATTCGGTGAAAGTGTTCCTTGATCAATTAAGAACCAAAGGTTCAAAAATAAATGTTATCTGCTGACATATATTCACACAATATGTAAGAAACTGAAATGAAAATTCTAACAATTTTTGTATTATTTCATCATAAAATTCGATCTCTTAATTATATTTCCGAACAGTTTCCTATCCAAATGTTTATTAGAATTATATGAATTTCCGATTTACTCGTTGTTCACAATTCACAATAGCATTGTAATTCAAATTTATATACAATATACATCATCGCGTTCATCGTCCAACTAGGATTGAAAATAAATTTTGATCACAAAGACTGTGGGTCAGTTCGATCCGTTTTGACGGAAGTAGATATATGACGTCGGTATTTTGATATCTAGACCGTATAGAAAAAAATTTGTTATAGGTATTTAAAAGGTGTTTCAAAATAAACAGAAGTCATTGCAAAAAATCTTCAAATGGAATACGAATTTCTTTATCTCAACTTTAATAAAATTGGCGGTTAGCTTCTCTAAAGGTGCGTATATGTATGATCATCTTGGAAGAAATAGAATTTTCCATGCTGTTAACTGAATTCTTGTGGAACCCAAGGAACTCAAAGAAGTATTGGTCAACTCATACGATTCGTCAGGTTTGTACCAAACTTTAAAAAATGCCGCTTAGCGCTTGTCACTAAGAGGTTTATAAACCAAAAATAGTATAATCGGGCTTTAAAACTAAACTAAGATTTGTCTTTCAAGCTGATAACGAAAATAAACTTTACTAGATATTAAAAGTTACAATTAACTTAAATTAACCTAAACTAAGGATTATTATAAAAATATCATTTCATAGAATTTTTATGCATATTTTGCACTGTCCATTAATTGCTTCTGCTAGATGAGCAATATAAGACAATTAAAAGTTATGCCACAAAAGCGGAATGTAAACAATAGTAAGTGGAAAATGAAACAAAAGATGATATACTTGGAATCAATTAAATTGCAACATGCACTTATTGAGTACAGTCAGTAAAAGTGAAAAAAAATTCATAAATGAACAGACACACAAACACGTGTGATGTATTGAAGTTTATAATTAAATGAGTAAAATGTACTAAAAATATATGGAACAAAATAAAATATTTGTTAAATCTAAACATCCAAGTAGCAACGAAATGAAATGAAAACATATATTGAATATGTATATGAAATCTAAATGTGGGTGAAATAAGATGATGATCAGTTACGTAGATGTGATTGCGCTTATATATGAAATTTGGATCAATGGATAGCAAACCAGATCCGTTCAGATTTATCAGGATAATTTTCTTTTGACATACACCTGTTGCTTGTGTGGATGGAGTGATGGAGTAAATCCATTAATTGTTGTGTGATAAGGGTACCTAGGTGATATTTATTGTTAATATCTTCACTTGTTAGTTAGTACAGTTCTGTTGTTGAACAAATTGATGTCACAAGAAAATATTTCAGCATCAAAGTTGTATTGCAATTGAATGTTGTGGGAAATAAAATTGTTGTAGTTGATCAAATCGCATGAAATGAGTTGATGTGCAGAAATTAAAAAGTAACGTTTTTGGCATTCGACTGCATATATCGATAACTACAATGATGTTGTCTATGGAGTTAGAAACAGGAGGTAGATCATACAATATGAATCTGTGATCATGTATGAATGGAGAAGTGATGTTAAGTACTACACAAAGATGAACAGGACCAGCCCTTGTTTTCATTAATTTGCAGAGCTACACGGAATCATCCTCAGCTGCAGGTAATTCTAAAGATTGCGGTAAATGTTTTTTTTATTTCATTTTGTAGTTGTGTTGCAGTTAGAAGCGAAGGATTGATTCTTCCATGGTGAGTGTCAATTAAGGTATACAAAATACATGCTTGTATTTTCCGCAATTGTTTCCAAGGAAGGAAATCTGCATGAATC